AGCATTACGTAATTGTATTGCACATGTCTATAAAAGTGACTGCGCATTTATTCACTGATATCACTGCATCCTACGCCTTTGAAGATGAATTTTTCACAACATTTTGAGCAATCGAACTGGGCCAACAGTGTTCATGCGGACGAAGTTTCGTCCTCTGATTATAAAAGGCTTTTTAGTTTGTTAGAGGCTATATATGCAGAGGCTGTTGCTTGTGAAGTTGGTAAACTTACTAAAGAGAGATGTTGTGGTTGTGAGTACGACCATCCGAGTCAATGCCAGCATGATTGTATCATGTTATCAGAACAAGAGAGATGGCAATCGTATGGTTTGGAAGCCATAGAGCGAGTGATTGTTAAGCGTATGGTTTGGAGGGAGTTTGTTGAGGCTATTACAGTGATGAAGTTACAGTATCATAAAGATGTTCGTGAGCACTTCGACAATTTAGAGAAAAGTCCTGATTCAACGTTTGTTTACTCGCTGATGGATCTTCGTGAAAACACCGAGGATAGTGAATTTGAGTCATTTTGAATTATCTTTCATACTGGAGAGAGGACAAATTTTGAGGACATGCGTGAACAAGTTTGGGCAAAATCATTACGTCACCGGAAGCGGTCGTACTTTAACGATATATAACAGGGCGCTTATATAGAGGGCGGTGAAACGGCTATAGGCGTGCCGATCGATGTGTGATGCAATGAACTGGTAACGAGTCTGTTGTGGTTACTATGGCGACGTTGTCTTATATGGCAAGGATAAATATGGCGGGAAAACTGAGCTGGAAGTTTTGACTGTTTTGTAGTCAAGTTTTGATGAAGAAATAGTTATTGGGGGTAAAATTCCGATGTTATACGATAATTTAGTAGATTCTGCTATTGTATTTTCAGGTAATACTGCCAATATTTTAGAGTTTTTGCTCAAAACGCTTGCGAAAGCTTACGAACGGTTGCTTTCGCAAGAAGCATGACGTGAAAGGTTTTTAAAACTCTTCGGATGTACACGTATCGTTCACGTTCGATAGAATACAATTCATAATTAATTTTAGCCACTAGTTGATCTTTTCAGTTGAAAATCAAGAAATGCTCAACTTGAATTTGTATTTTTTTAACGAATCCTTACGAGAAGTTGTCTTGGCCAGCCGGTCAAAAAAAATCAAAGTTGGGACGAAACTTTTTCGACTATTGCGCTCAACAAACGTCCGAGCGACTCGTATTTTGATTTAAAGGCCAAGAAGTAAAATATGTTTACGGCTCAGAATTACTTCAATTGAATGCCTTAAAAGTCGTACAAAATTATTAACATAATAATCAAAAATCGCGACATGCCCAAAATACAATTGTTGTTTATTTTTTTGCAGCGAAATATTGGTCTAATTAGGCAAAATTTAACACACAAAAATACCTCACTTTCCAACGCTGTGTATTCAATTGCTCAACTCCGAGTCTTATGAAAACTTTTGGAGATAAGCACATAATTATAATCTTTACCATCAACTGAATTTCGAAGTTTGGACGACTTGATAACATGCCCAATTGCTGTTTTGAAAATTTCCCTTCATTGAAGTCATCAAAAGCCCGACTCATTATCCTCAATATTTCTTTCAAAATTCAACTATACAGGCCAAACAAGCATTCGTACGATACACTAGTTACTACTTCGTCGTTACAGTGTAAAAACATCCTCAAGAATTTCGTAGTTAATGAAAAAACAGCAAAAATACAACAGCAGGAAAAATCACGCTCCTTGTCAACTTTTGCCGAAAAGCACGCTCGTGCCAGTCCTTTTCCGCATCACACATCGATCAGCACGACATCAGCGCGTTTCACCGCCCTCTATATAAGCGCCCTGATATATAAGGATGAGATCGTGCGCCAATTTTCATTACTTCAGTTTACGCCAACAGAACTGTACGATGGAGTGCTTACATGGAAAACCTGCTGTTAATTCCACAACAAGCAATGGATCATTTTGGTTTTGTGGTCAAACTCCCAGTTGCAATTTCTTTTGTACAGAAGACGAAGGCTACATGTATGAAAAAGCCATAACAGCTTGGAGATGTACGGAGCAGCCTCATCCTCGGTGCGATGGACATCATAAACTTGCGAAAATGTGTGTGGTGAAAAATTTGATGAATGTGAATTATGGAAGACCATTCTTCGTGTGTGGAGAAAAGGCGAAGCCGTGTTCCTTTTGGATGTGGGGTGATGTACAGCCATTAGCGAAACTTGAGTGCCGTCACGGATTACCGTGTGCGATTCGAAAGGTGAAGAAAGAAGGACTCAACAAAGATCGATTGTTCTTCTGTTGTCCGAATGATAAGGAGAATACATGTCGGTTTTTCGAGTGGGCACCTGACGAAGAATTGGGATTTTTCCAAACTGTGAACTTTAGTAAAGAACCGTTAGAGAAGCAAAGTTGTAATAAGAACAATTATTTAGCAACTAAATTTATGCATGATTTTGCAAACCAGTGAAAGTTGTAGATGATTACTTCTGACATTAGTTTATTTGATACATGCCTCTGAAGATACTACGCGTAGGGCCGTTCGTTTAGTTGCAGCCCCTTTGAAACGTTTTGATTTTAAAGAATTTTCGATCAAACAGAGTTTTTCCGAAGAGTGGTTTCTCGGATCTGGTTATAAAACGAACGGACACGTCAAATAATAACGCAGTAGGTGTTGTGCACATGAACCCGATGGACGTGAATTTTCGAACTCCTGCGAACTATTACATTTGTGGTCAATCTCAAAGCGGAAAATCGCACCTTGTTCGTTCCATGCTTGATCATTTGGAAGAGCTATTTTATCCTGTTCCGACAAAGATTTTATACTGTTATGGGGAACATCAAAAAGAATTTGATGACCTGTCCCAGAGACTAACAAACATAGAGTTTGTGGATGATTTTCCAAATGACTTGTATGCTTTGGTAGAGGGACACGATAACTCGCTAGTAATTTTGGATGATTTAATGTCCCAATGTTCAAATGATACACGCGTCTCGGACCTATTTACACGCGGCTCTCACCATCGTGGTATATCTGTTTTATTCCTTACCCAAAACCTTTTTCCACCTGGTAAATTGTCACGAACGATCAGTCTTTTTCCGAAATCCTCGCGACTCACTTGGTATCTCAACAGTTGCCAGACAAATGTTTCCTAAACATTCCAATTACCTTATGGAGTCGTTTGAAGATGCCACGAGTAAACCTTATGGATACTTGATGATTGATTGTCATCAGTTGACACCAGAGAACATGCGATTGAGAACCAACATTTTGCCTGGAGAGAGACAAATTGTCTATGTAAAGCGTACTTAAGCTACGTATGTTTTGGAAATTCATCATTTGCAAGATGTCAAAGCGCATGAGAGGAAGTCTTCCCTATCTTCAAGTCATAGTGAAATCTAAACCTAAATTGCGAAAATTGCTCATCGATAACGTTCCTGCAAATGTCATCACGGCTATCTGCGAGTGTTCCCTGAATCTACTTAAAGGCGTTATCCCTCTAACACCTAGTCAAAAGCGACGTTTAGCACGTTACAAGACACATCTCCGTGCTTTAGCGAATAAGAAAGTGTCAAGAAAATAGAAGAAGAAGCACCTTAATAAAAAAGGTGGGAATTTATTGACGGCTCTCTTACCACCCGTGTTAAGTCTAGTCGGGAGTTTGTTAGTAAAATGAAGCATGCAAAACGAATGGTGCTGGTCCCCGAAGACGTGCTTAACAGATATGAGCAGAGGCAAAAGCTTGAGACTACTCTTATTATGACCAACATGATGCATCAAGATACAGCGATATCGGAGATTCTTCAGAACGCGAGTATGCCCAATGCTGAAAAACAGAAATTGTACAATGTGAACATGGAAAGTTATCTGAGTTTGAGACGTCAAAAAGATGGTCAAATACCTACCGTTCAGATAGCGCCTGATACAGAACAAGAGCCTGAGCCCATAGAAAAAGGAAGGTTATCTGACGCAGACGTGGTCGAGCATATACCTAGAACCATGCGTGCAAGAGCTACAGCACTGTTAAATCGATTGAAAGCAAGACCTGACGTTATTTCATGGGATGAATCTGGACAAGTTAGCCTGGACGGTAAAGAAATTCCCCATTCCAACATATCTGATTTGGTCAGTGATGCCTTGAGGTCGAGAAGAAATTTTAATCCTACTGGATCAAGAGAGTTTTTTCGTGTTTTATCCAAGATGAACATGCCTAAAGATCTCGTAAGAAATGTGGAGAGATGGAAGCAAATTGATGCTTCACCTGATCCCTTTAGCCCACAACGTGCAAGTCCATCGCAATATTTTCAAGATCTTCTAAAGAGACATGAAGGGGGCAAACAAACTGAAAAACGCTGGCATAATTATTAATCATGTAGCTGTTCTATTCAATAAAATATTTTTCACCTGTCTTTGGTTGTTATTTTTGCTTATTGGGGTACTTTTGCGCACAAATCAACACAGACACACAATATTGATTTCTTACAACATTTATTGAATCATCTTTTACTAAACTGATTAAGGTTATTTATTTGTTTTACTATTACTTTGAAATGATTTTTAACAAACTGAAACACTTTCGCGTCGTTTAACATAGTATTGTTATCAAATAACTGCACGATCGTATTCATGCTTGTCCTCTTGCTCTATGGCTAAGGTAAAATATGCAATACTGGCCACACACATCTGACCAAGCACTTTGCACTTTACGTCTATTAAAATCCCATGCGTAAGAATGTTTATCTAAAAAGTCTCCAAATGAATCCCTATAGTAATCTGGTGCACGTCCGTAACTGTCAAAGAATTCTCCTTTCTGCTCCGACGGGAAGTAGAAGGCGACCCAATGCGTTCCAGGTTCACTGCTTGGATCCGTGTTCGCAACGAATCCGCAAGGATATCTGTCGATCGTCTGAGGCAACTTATCGCTAGGAAACACACCGCAAAACTTCTTGCTTGTTACAGGATCTTGTTCTAACGCATGCGTTATTTGAGAAGTGTTCATCTAACCGGAATAATCGTAGACAACGTTTCTCTCAGAATCGATATGAATGGTATTCTCGAAACCTCCGTAGCACACGAGACTCACTGCGACTGTCGGCGCTCTGGAGAACTGGATGTCAATGACCAGGTTTCCTTTTTGCACGACGTTAAAATGAGGAGATGCACCACACATATCAGGTGTTAAATCAAAGGCGTAAACGGCGTAACCTTTAGGGAATTCTTCTCGGGATATGTCGTTCCCAGTGTTGTAATACATTTTCCCCGTACCAGAGAACAGCGTGCTGAATGCTTCGATGTATCTAGGATTTGCACCAAAGGAAAGCTTCAAGGGTTTAAATGGCATTTCTTCACCATTCACGGTTATTCCAATGGAGGACACTTCGAAATGTTGAAAGTTGTATGGATTCTTTTTGAAGGCACCGTTATTAAACGCTTCGCTCTCAACCAATCCGAAGACAAACATTTTCGGTACAAGTCCATTGAAGATGTTGTCTTTTCTCAGGGAGGGGTTGCCTGCGGAAACGATGAAACTCTTGCATTCGACGCGACGAATGGGGTAGATGGCCGGTCCTTTTTTTAACGTAATTTCATGGGCCACGGAAATGCTCGGACTGACTTTCACTTTACGTATCTTGAGATAGGCGTCGGTGAGTTTCACTCTGAAATCAACATCGTCCTCGGAGGCCATCAGACAGAACTCGTTGCTGCTTCGATTCAAAATAACTTTCAGATCTACGTAACTCGGCAGGAGACGCTCGGTCGTAAATACATCGCTAAATATAGGTCCAGCCATTTCAATAATTCCACTTGTCTTCCTGAAGACGTATCTTGCTCTAAGACCCGAGTTGTCTGCGTCACCTGCTGTGGTAGGATTTGCGACGTCCATTGTGCCCGCAGAGTCCTTGTAAAACAGAGCTGCGGTGAGCTGGGAATCTTTTGCCGAGGGGCCATAATTCAAGAGGGTTTCCAGATAAGCACGGTACGCATAGGTTCCAGTAGCTTGAGTGACTTGCTTTTCGTTCAGAAAGACGTCAACTTGTTTGAACATGCTGTGTAGGAAATTGTTCACAACGCCAACCTTTAACAACAACAATTTTTTATTACACTCTTGAAAATTTTGATAACTTAATATTTACAAATAAAAGGGCTCCGTATAATAATTATAAAGAGCTAAAAATGCCTAACCTTTTCGCCTGCGTCGAGATTTGCACCATTAGCTTTCGTCACTTTTGCTCTCAGCACGAGGATTGTTTTAGCAAGATCGACGTAATCTTCAGTGCCTGGAGACAGGAACGTAATGGAACCTCCATCAGCTACACTGGAAACAGGTTGATGATCTATCCAATGTCCTTTTTCTAAACTGGTCTGTGTCGGAGGCACAGAATAGATCGAGTTCACTTTTTGTGCATTCTTGCGACTTAGAATGTACGAAATTCATGCTTCAATCGAATATGTCTTGAGCTGTTTTCCGTTTCTTGGTCTGTTGCTTCTGGCTGTAGATGTTGATACCTTTCTCTTTTTAGTTGTTCCCTTCGTACGTTTTCCACTTCCTGTTTGACTCTTCTGTTTATTTATAGCTTTTCTTTTCGCAACGTTTGCAGCCTCCACGGTTCGTGCTTTTGCTGCTTCTTTTACGTTTTTACCGGAAAGAACATCACCCACAAAGTCAGCGCCACTTTTCAAGGCAATGTTACCGAGAGCTTTTGCTCCGCTTTTCACCATGGGCATCACCGCTCTTGCCACGCTGCGAAACAGACCCCCGATTCCAAAGCCCATCTGGTGGCCAGCGCCCATCTGGTGGCCATATCCGGCTTGCCAAGGGCTACCTGAGAAAACAGGCATCCCGTGCCCTTGCTGGTGATCCAAATAATAGCGTACGTAAGGATTATTCATCTTTTCAAGTGAAATAACTACGCTGTCTGAAATGTAGTGTCGCTATCACCTTCCCACGTTCAAATGGCACTGGATCGCCTGTGTCGTTCCTTAAAACAATTTCCACATCTTGAAAGGATTTGGTTTGAACTGGAACGTATTGTATGTTCGTGAACGTTTTAGTAATGACATCACCCAACTTTGCTTGGACGGGAATACTTCTGAGTAATTTGTCACTGGCATTTCCGACAATTTGAAGTTGCACAATATCGCAATATACATAGATCGCCATGAAACCATGTAAGTCAGCTGCGTAAGGACTTGTTGTCGTTTTCACTATTTTCGTTTCTTTTCCACCAAATCCCAACACGATTGACATTTTGTTAGTCACAACCAATTGATGTTTGTTTTTTAAATGGACCGTAACTTTTTCTGTACGAACATTGAATGTCAACTTAATGTTATCGCTCACATCTTTTGCCAAAGTTTTATTAACAGATTTCACCAAATCAGGCGTTGTTTCATAAAAGCGATAATCGATTAAATGTGGGTATTAAATCAGGCATTGTTTCATAAAAGCCATAATCGAATAAATGTGGGTATCAAAATTATTACCAAGAGTGTATCATGTCCGAGGTCAGTTTATTGAATACAAACCCACTTTCCATTCGCCACTCAAATTAATAGCTTGAGGTAATTTGACTCGATAACTTGTCGTCTTGTTATCGGGAGAGATATCCGAGAATGCATTGCTAGGAAGCGTGAGGTAAAAATGTGTTCCGCTCTTTGTGAATTACAAATGAAAATAACAAACAGACAACACGTTCAACGGTTTAAATGTTATTTATGTCAGAGCGGATACCCATGAATTAAATTTATTTGGGTACCTTAACCATTTTACAAGATAATGTACGTTATTGCCACGTCCACGTTTCTTCAAGATTTTCTCAATTTCGTACACGTCATCTTCTTTGATCACCTTTTGCAGCTCTTTCTCGTAGAACGTTCCTTTGAGTTCTTCACCGTCCAGATCCTTTAGTTTGTACACTGGAGGATCACGAGGTATTTGCTTCCTTATAATAAAGATCTCTTTTGAGAAATTTGGCAAGTACCCTTTTTCGAACGTTCGTTTCATCTTGCTAATTCTAACCTGATCATTAATCTTAAACTTAAACTTATACTTTACATTTTTCACGGCGTCATGATCATACAGGGTGTGCCATACTTTACTTTCGTTTTCAGCAGTTACTTCCGCGGGTTTTGTTTTTATGCTGCGGTGAACACTATGATTGTAAGAATAAACCAAATCGGGTAACATGTCCACGTATCTCATGGTTTTCTTGGCCGTAAAATAACGCCACATTTTGGTCTTCAGACTACGAATCAGACGTTCCACGATAGAAGCTTTCGTTTCGTTGTACGTGTTGTACAGTTCGATGTCTTCTTCTTTCATCAACGCTCGGAAATGTTTGTTTAAAAACTCTGTTCCTTGATCGGTCATGATCTTTTCGGGCTTGCGTCCAGACGACAAAATGACTTTGAAAGCTTCGACCAGTATTGGACCCGTTTTGTTTTTCAACGGGACTACCCATGCATATTTGGAAAAGACATCGATGCACACGAGCAGGTAACGATACCCGCCGTTAAATTTTTGCATGGACTGCATGTCTGTCAGATCCATTTGCCATTGCTGATCGATACCGCCTACGATGACACGATTTCGTTTGAAGTGACGACGCATGGGTTTATGCAACGTATACGCATCTTGTTTCATCAGCCATTCTTTAAGTTTCTTACGACTTATAGCAAACTTTCCTTCCTTTTTGACGTCACCATACAAACGATCCACTCCGCCAAATCCTCCAGGACGTTTTGGATCGTAATACACGCTAGATAGGTATTCGTCCATGTTGACAAGTGAAAAGAAGGATTCGCTTTATTCTTCAACGTTTTGGGTTCATCATTGGGTTCATCCTTTGGCAGCGTATTTTCAAGGGGTTTGTTCTTTGTCAAAGTATTTTCAACGGGTTTGTAGTTTTTAATCGTTTTACTGCTGTATCCCGCCTGTAAATGTCCCTCAACATTGAGATCATTTCGTCCAACACTTATACCGATTCTAAACATTTTCTGTTTATTATGATCTTTGTTAATCTTCGGATTTTTGCTGGCAGTGTGTCCCATGACGTACGCTGTACTATGAAAAGATTTTTATAGGTACATGCGACTTTAAACGTTTTGCACTTAAAAGAAACGGTCAACAGTCAAATGAAGATCAAACATGCTTCGTTCTGAGCCTATCGACATTGTTAATAAGGAATTAGTTCTCCATCATCGCCAAAAGCTTATCGTAAAGCAACTTTTGAAAATTTCAGCTGAAGAAATAACTCCTATCATTTCTCAGCCTGTTGTTGAAAATTGTAACGGATGCATGACAGAGCATCTGTCCCAAACGCATCATCAATGTCTTACGATGGAAAGGGACGTACAATTATGTTTGTACTTTGACTATGCTTTGGAAAAGGCTTCTGAAACAAAGGTCATGGAAGCTTTTACTAAAAGTTCGAGGGACATGGAAGTGCACGAATTGATCAAATATACGGCGAACGATTGGAAACCGTTTTTTGCGTGGACCACAGACGGGCGTTGAAACACGAGACCTTTGAGTTATTGTAACCTATAAAAACACGATGCCGCTGTCCAATCATTGTTGGACACAATGCAAATTGTCATGTGAGCAAAATCTATAAAAACCCAGTACCTTTTAAAATTTTTGATCAGATCAAACGAACATGGCTTGGAGAGACATCGTACCTCACTGGGTCTCCGACAAATGCTTAACGCAAGAGGGAAATTTGGCAACTTTGGATTTGATGAGGCTTTTGATAGAGAAGAATATGATACCCGCAACGCTTATTGACAATCCGACATTGCACTCAATCATGTTGACGCAAATCATATTGGAAACATTAACGGGTGTGACGCTACCTCGGGCTCGCCAGGGGAACAACTTTACTTATCACATGAACGCTAAGGAAATTTTGATGTGGGACATGGCTAGGAAAAATGAAAAGCAAGTCGCGACACTGGAAGAAGAAACGGGGGTGAATCTGGATCATTATCACAAACTGAACATCAGAAATTAACTTTGAGATCAAGCGATCTTGTAAAAATATTTATTTCAAACTGTTTATGTTATTTACAAAGTTAATACCCATAGGGTAATGTTTTATAATCATCTACAATTACACGTTTATTATAAACTATCATGTAGTCCTTTTTCGTACGTTTCGTTTCAATGCTTTTTGTCTTTGTGTTTCTCGTGATCTTGTACGGGATATGAACCGTCACCGTATTGTTCACTTTACCTACTGCGTGCAAATGTACTAATTCGCGTATAACGTCAAAGTTCACTTTTTGCCTTGCGGTGCAATTCAACGTGATACTGCGTATTTTCGTCTCCACTTTGTTGGAACTGGTCCGATAGCAGTAATTCTTCGGTCCGCCCGAAATGAAGGTTGTAATGTGTCCTTCTTTCAATTCATCCGTGAGTTGACCGAGATGAGGACCTATTGGGGGTTCCTGTCCCCCCGGTTTGCTGACAAATATCACAGAGTCCGTATCGTAGTACAACACTCTTTCTCGCAATTCGTCCAGCACTCCGTAGAGCTTGAGTCGTGCATAGGCGGTGGTAAAAGCGGCAATGACCACATTGGTCTTGGAGTTTGGCGTTACGAAATTTTCGTTGTTTTCATAGTGGATCTCAATCACTTCATCGCTTACGAGATCTGCATCGAGAACATTGATCTCGTCCGAGGTCAGATAGTCGAGAAACGTTTGCACGTCGCTGATCAATTCCACTTTGGTCATATTGGGACGTTGTGCAAATTTACCTATGGAAAAAAAAATTTATCAGTATTTGTAGCGATAACGTTGCACGTCCTCGGATGCCACCTAAAAACTTTGCGCTGTTTAAAATACATACCCCAAAACGAGTTTAGCATCAGCTTGGATAACGCACGCATACCTGGATTGTGCTCGATTTTGCTTCGGTCCAACCGTATTCCTTCAACTGCAAGGTATTCGTCTACGTACTGTTGTCTCTGTTCTTTCGTGGTACAATTCTTTGAGTAACCACTCGACTCCTGCTTGATCTTGAGGAAGGTGTCCACATACTCTTTGAATAATCCGTCGGAGGATTGGGGAAAATGCCATACTTCGTGCATTTGTAGAATTCGGTAACCTTTCTCCAGGGCTTTCTCTAACTCTACGCTGCACCATGTTCCTTGGATGGCTCTTTCGTGATCGGAATGGGTACATGGGGTCTGATCACACGCATCAGCGCAGGACTTGCATAGAGGGAACATCAATTTGCCTTGTCTACGATAGGGCAGGACAGGGTGGAAGAGACCTCGAGGTGGAAGCACCGTGCATTTAATCAAGCCGAAGTAAGTCGAGATATCTTCGAAATTCTCGGTAATGATGTGGGGATGGCCAACAACTGTCCGAATCATTTTGTTGCACCATGGGCAGAGGCTCGTAAAATCCACATACCTAAGAGAAAGTTGACGTCATCAATATATTTGCTCTGACGTCATAATCGTTCTTATCATTTTATTACATCTTACCTTATTTTCTCACCATCTTTACATTCGTGGAACAGTTGGTTCGTCCACCAAAGAAGGCATCACGAGGTTCCAAAGGATCAACCAGATCGTAGTTGTCAAAGGAAGTCTTCAAATCTTCATCTTGTTCCAGTTCTTTCCTGATGTCACATTCCCAGACTTCAATCACACCGAAACCATGATCTTTAAGGTAACTGATCTTCTCCATTGTAGCTTGATGAAGATCTTGCATCGTCTTACCACTCACAGGATTTACCGAGCATAGCATTTCAAACATCCTGTAAAAACAATAATATAATTTTACTCCAAGGTGTTTATTCGAAGGAGGCGTTTTTATTCGAGTTAACTTACCGTGCCAGAAGCACCCGTTGATCTCGTAGGCTGTGTTGGTTTCTTCATGATAACCGTCCAGTAAATAGTTTCCAACACGCTTTTCTCCTGCATTACGAGCATGTTGAATGTAGAGGTCTTCCTTTTCAGCCTTATACGAGAGCCATTTTAAAACCAAGAGGGATTGCTTGTCTTTGGGACGATAACCGTGAGGGGGTATGATTGCAATGTTCTTTCAGAAAGTTCTTTCGAAACACTAGATTGCAGGCCGATGCAATAGTGAGACATTTCTCGAAGGGATCAATGTCCGTAACATCACGAAATAATTCGCGAAATTCCAGACAGCAACGACGTAATATATCCACATCAGATCGACAGTAAGTCAAAATCTCTTGTTGGAAATCAAACACATAATTGTTCTCTTTCAAACCATTATGCCATTCCAAAAACGTTTCCTTCTCATCAGGACTCATTCCATCAGGATGGTAAAATGAAGTAGGTGGTAGGGGTCCAACCTAGTTCTGATTCTCGGCTGTGTTGAACAGATGAGGGAAGTATCCTTTCGCGAGTTCGTTCAAACCAAACGTTTTTGGAAAATCAGCGAGTCTCATCGGTATGAAACTGAGAGAGTCGACAAACTTAATCTTGAACATTGGAACATTCAACGTTAGGATCTTGGCACCACGCATAATGACTTCGGGAATCACGCCATTCTCGTGTAAGTACTGTTGAATAAAGTACCGTCGTAACCTTGAAAGTTGTGAGCCAACACGATACAGTTTGCATGTTCCTTTGTAAAAAGCCATTCACAAAATTTATTCCTCGTATTATCTCCTTCAAATACCCACTCGTCGCCTGCTTCGTTTTGCACTACGCGACACTCAAAGTCGAAAAATAGCAGTTCGTTGTACCCAATTTGAGGGGCGTCGTCTCCGTCACGTGCCTCGTTGTCGAGCATATTGAATTCAGATTGATTCCTACGAGTACTTCTTTCCTTGACTGGTTGCATGTAGCATTGATGATTCTCAGCAGACACGTATTCTTTACAGATCGAGCAACGAGTCTCACCGCAGTGATGCAAATCGGCACCATCTTACCAAAGAAGCACAAATAGATTTTGCATTTCCTACAGTTTGTTTATGTCGATCGAAATATTCTTGACTTTTAAAAACACGAATACAATCTGCACAAGGCAGCCACGAAACAATTGGACAATTTTGAAAATAACATAATTTACACGAGTTAGGGCATGAATGATCGGTCATTTTATCATACCCCTTTTTATAGGTATGACAATAGCGTTTTCTGGCAAAAAATGCGGGCATACTCGCAATCACATCATAGTGATTGTCATGCAAAAACAAATAAATCCTTTTCTCTTTTTCGGGACCGGAAAAAATGATAGAGTTTTGATGTTCTTTTGAAACTATATTGATTTGATAATCCGATAAATACGTTTGAAAAAGTTTGACTTCGTCTAACCCACAGGTTGCTATTGGAACAACGGCTTTTTGGTGCAAATCACGAGCTAAACGTGCTTGCAGCGGTCTCCGGTAATCTTTTATATGATATTACCGACTATCGTTTTCAAGTTTTGCAATAGAAACAACGAGTGTTCGAGCTAAACAAATTTCGTCCTTGTTTTGAATGCCAACAATTGATCTTTTGTTAATTAAATGCTTTTCCAAGTTAATTTCACTACGTTTTGTGCCGGTACCGCCGTTGGGCATTTCAACATGGATTAAATTGACATTGACACTATCATTCAAACGAAATTCATGATTAGATTGAATCACACGCTCAATTTCAGCTAAAACCCGCTCAGTTGTAAGACGTTGACGAGGCAAGAAAGGAAGACAAATAGGGGTTTCTAGTTGAGGCGATTGCAACACAAAACGGATTTGATCTTGCATAGGAATATCTTGCGTGACAGTATTTAATAAACTTTCAAATATTTCATGAAGACGGTCGTGATATTGAGAAAGTTCCAAATGAGCAAACGTGTCCATAAATTGAACTGTATAATCCATACCAGTTGTGCTGAACTTTTTCACTTTAACTTGCTTAACATTCGATACGGTAAAAAAGTTATCGCTAACCTGTTCAGATGTTCCTGCACCGTCATTCACTTTATCGATGGATCTTTTCTGTCCACGACCAACTTGTAATAAGGGTTCATCGTCTTGCCAATCTATCATAAAATTCTCTCGTTCAAGTGTCCAAAAATCCATAAGGTCCGAAGCGAGTCCTAATCGTTCGTCTTGCAGCAACGGCTCATCATTTTGCCAATCCATCATAAACTGTTGCCTCTGCTCCGGCGTCCAAGAATCCGAAAGGTTTGCAGTAAGCCCAACTCGTTCGTTTTCCGCTCCCCATTCTAGCAAACGGCTAATAATTTCGACTTTCTTCTCAAATATTAAGCCCCGCTCAAATTCATTCAAAGTATGTTCACTTTCCAAAGCCATGAGCTCAGCCACGGTTTGGGCTTCGCCAATTTTCTCAGTCAAACTCATACTAGATCAAATACTCTGTGACGTTTTCTCTGTGAAAGCAGCGCAAACAGTACGTCAAGCTATATTTTTCGAACCGATTTATACTTAATGTTTATTGACGATAAACGTAGTGTACAGCGGTCCCCGTAAACGTAGTGTAAAGTGAGCTGAAGCATAATCACGCGCACATCATGTTCGTCTCGCGTACGACCTTAATTCAACGCTTAACCTTTGCCTGCGACCTTTCCGTGCGACGCAACAGGTAGGCAATTTGTCTGAGCATGCGCGAAGAAAATCAATATGGCGACATATATTTAGGAGTGCTTCGTTGATTTATCTGGTTTTAAAGCTGATAAAACAACATTTTAATGAACGAAAACTTTGTAATATTTAGTGGAAAACATTAAGCTGTACAGTCCAAAGATTTTAAATTAAAAATAAGTACTTTGCTTTATTTTATTGATTTTTATGCTTTCAAAACAGGCAAGCTCATATTTTTGAAAAAATCTAATCTAATATTTTACCCATCATTTGTTTAGTCTGAACAGAAATAGATAGAACACTTGGCTATATAAGTTATAAAAGTATTGTTAGTTGATCTGAAAGATTTCAGTATTCCTGGTACACATTTTAACAAAGAATGAAATGTAATTTTAAAAATTAAATATGCATATCAAAAACAATAGTTTTTATTAGAACAACACAGAATAAGTTGTTATTTTCTATTTTTACAAAAACAAGTTTGGAAACAGGATCTAGTCCTCCAGATTGATGTCATATTCCATTTATTTGGATATTTGAGTAAAGGAATGTGAAATAATAATTGAATCTTGCGCAAAATTTGATACCAACACTCATGTGAACAAATACTATCACCTAAAAATAAAAGAAAACAGAACTTAAATTTATCATATAAAGCCATGAAAAAATCTTAGATACTACAGGCATATAGTGAGCACAACACTTTAACAAACTCACTAAAATAAGTTAAGTTATGCTATGACAAGAGGATGGCAATATATGACAACATCAAATGTCACCATCTTCAGTGTCCAAAAAAAGTGCCGCGCGCATTTTTCATGGTCGCCTAACTGGTATTGCCACAAACCCAGGTGAAAAAGCAATTAGAAAAACCTGGTTTTGGATGATGAGCATAGTCAAATTCTTGACTTATTCAATTTTCTAAGTTTTTCCAGGTAAACAAATTCAACATTGAAATGAGCCCCATTCGGGACCTTGTAAAATTCTAAATATTGTGTGTAGACCAGATTTTTTTCAATTTTCTGTAATTTACATGACACTAGTTATAATTTAAGGCTCAACCAGTATTGTTCAAGACATATTTTCCTTCCAAAACACCTTTTCAAAATACTAACCCAAACATGTCAAAAATAGTGTACATTTACAAGGGCAATTTCAACCCTTTGGCACATTTTTCCCATGAATGATTTTAATTCTAACAAAAGAACAATAGATAAAACTTTGATTTAAAGCTAGTTTCAAGTGATGAGCATACCCTAATTTTTAAGCTATACCTCAAAGAAGTTGGGTCAATACAACATAAACATTAGCTAACATTGAAATATGGGTTTACTGACAGCTCTGTCACGCTTGTAGTTTGGCATTAGCAGACCATCTGAAACATTTTAATTAAAATATAATTCACAAAATTCACATTTTCACTTACTTCTTAACATCTGTTTTAATCCAACTAGCTCTGTAGGCACGAGCAAAATGTAGTGTTGATGTAAATATCCATTTAGTTCATGTTTCCCCGATGAAAATATAGTCTATTCCAAAGCTGGATTTCGACGTACTTTAGCTTTTCAGAAACCGTTGGCCTTCCTCAGTAAGGTTATCAACTGTTTCACAAACATGTTTGATAATAAACAGCTAAAATATTCTCCGAAAGTCTATATTTTTGCTCTTCGAAGCGGAAGTGGCAACTCGAGAAGAAATGAGCCGCTATTTTTGGTCAGCGTCGACAAATTGCCTACCTGTTGTGCGCACTGATCTGAAATAAGACTGGATAACGCATCTATAGTATACAAAAGTGAAGCCGGAAGTCACCGACCGCCACCCGATTCTGGGGCCCCACTTTTGTATAGATTTGTATTACAGACGGTAGTTTTTCGCGTTTTTTGCCTTGGCTACTTTTCCGATCGGGCCAATTTTACAATCACAACGAGAGAAGCATACAAGAAGAGTTTTGAGCAAAAAATTTGGAGTATTATGGCTTTATAACGCCGCGAAACGGGATTTACAACTCTGAAGGAATGAAGAGCCTCAGACCTTGTTTATCAACACGAGCTCGTTTTACTACTTTCATACAAAATATACTCAAAATATACAAGAATTATTGTTACTGGACGAATATTCTCAGGAAATTTGAAGAAATGAAGCAGCTACATTGTGAACGAAAGCGTACAGAGGTTAGTTTTAAAATACCTTGAGGCTACTTCCATAATTATATGAATTAAAATAACATATTGAGTCGTTGTTTATATTTTGGATTAAAAATATTTCATTGTCACTTGTCTTTCTACCTTAAAACATATAAAACTTCTCGACAAGTCGCCTAGGAATGCTTTTGACAAAATTGACATTTAAAACTGTTCCTTATTAAATTCGTATAATTATAAAAGTAGCCTCAAGGTATTTTAAAACTAACCTCAGTACGCTTTCGTTCACAATGTAGCTGCTTCATTTCTTCAAGTTTCCTGAGAATATTCGTCCAGTAAACAGTAATTCTTGTATATTTTAAGTTGATTTTGTATGAAAGTAGCAACGAGCTCGTGTTGATAAACAAAGTCTAACCTCTGTACGCTTTCGTTCACAATATAGCTGCTTCATTTCTTCAAATTTCGTGAGAATATTCGTCCAGTAACAATAATTCTTGTATATTCTGAGTTGTTTTTGTATGAAAGTAGCAAAACGACTAACGAGCTCGTGTTGATAAACAAAGTCTGAGGCTCTCCACTCCTTCAGAGTTATAAATCCCGTTTCACGGAGTTATAAAGCCATAATACTCCAAATTTTTTGCTCAAAATTCTTCTTGTATGCTTCTATCGTTGTGATTGTAAAATTGGCCCGATCGGAAACGTAGCCAAGGCAAAAAACGCGAAAAACTACCGTCTGTAATACAAATCTATACAAAAGTGGGGCCCCAGAATCGGGTGGCGGCCGGTGACTTCCGGCTTCACTTTTGTATACTATAGATGCGTTATCCAGTCTTATTTCAGATCAGTGGTTGTGCGACGCCACACTGCGGTTGACTCGTCCCCAGTCGTCTCTGTGAGCACGCGCGAATTGGAAGGCACGCTTTCCTTTTCAGTTTTCCACGCGCTCACATTTGCGTGTGTCTCGCAATATGTCTCGCAATATCTCAAATCTCACTCGCTCTTGATATTGCTTTGACTTTCACATTTGTTTTAAATTTTTGTTTTAAATTTTCAAGCAATTTCTCGAGCTCTATTTCCAAGACCTTTAGAGACGACTGGGGACGAGTCAGACACTGCGCGGGGCATAAACAGACAGGAAATTTAAAACAAATTTATTTATCGCCAAAAGCTTGAAGTCCGTCTCAAGAAATCAAGAGTCGCTTCATGATCATTCCCAATGTTTTTAAAATGTTCCGCTGCGTGCTCAAAAGGGAGATAATGGGGGCAACACGAAATCGTACAGTAAAGAAGCAAAATATTATTGCCAAAGATACTGCGTTGGTTGACTGCATGCATCAATTAACACATGGATTAACACAAAGCGTACGCACGTTTCTGTTCGTACGAAATTGTTCGTACAAAACTGTTCGTACGAGGAGAGTTATCGTAAAATATATGCGGAATATTTGAAGAATAAACTTTCTGATGATTAATCATTGTACTCATACTAGTAGAGAGTTGATTATAAGAATAAATAAGTTGAGTTGGCTTTCTTATTGGAAGACACATTTAAATTGTTGTAATACTATGTGCACTTGAATAAAACAAACTGCCGTTCTCTATTTTCTCGGGAATGTACCTCATTATTATTCGAAGCTAGCATAAGTATCATAAGGAGCTACGCTCGCACGCTATGTCAAGCTAAGTACAAACTCTTGGACGTACACTAAGTACGAACTCTTGGACGTACACTAAGTACGAACGCTTTGACGTACGAACTCTTGGACGTACACTAGGTACGAACGCTCGGACGTACACTCCCTGTTGACGTCATACATACATTTGCTTGAATTACTTCCGTCGCTATATGGCGGGGGGGGGGTTACCTACTAGTGCTCGCGTGCTCGCCTATTTTTTCCATCCCTGCCAATATCACCCTCGCCTGTTAACTTAATTCTTCTGTCCAATTAACGCATATGTCCGAAAAAATAAGCCCTGCGGCCTCCCCTGGAGAACTTGATCGAGGATTAACGATATTAACGGCTTATTGACCGAGCGTGAGGTCTGTACTGTGAAATATCAGACCGAGGTTTTTTAGTATGGATCGAGCGACGAAGGAGCGAGGTCCATGCAAAAAACAGAGGTCTGATATTTCACAGTACAGACCGAATAAGGGAGGTCAATAATCGGTTTATTATATGGCTGAACTGAGTCTGTGAGCATATGCTTTTAGCGCGAATTAAATCGGCTATCGTCAGTTTCACTGGGTAACAATATACGGTATGCATGCATGCTCAATCAAAAACAATTTGGTTGTTTGAAATTTTTATCTGTAAAGCACAATTGGAAATTTAGAAAGCAAAATTTTTTTCTGTTTGCAAAGCAAGAATTTCCCGCCAGATAAACGACATCGGGGACACCGGTCCAGATACGGAGAATACGGACCACGGTCCGGATATGGGTTTTTACGGAACGCTTGTCAACCAATCAGATTAGGAATTTTGAAAACCCATATAATAAATGTATGTATTACCTCACTTTTAGGACTATTACCATGAGCTGATATGTGTGACAGAAAGAGAGAAATTTCTTATTCCTGTCAAAGCTATTGGTGAACGTGCAGTAATAGACTTTCCCGATTCCGTAAACTTTGGGAGCTGTCCTGTCAAGGATACGACGACCAAGACCTTGTTTGTGAGAAATATTGGCAAGAGAGAAGCCAAGTTTTCCCTTTCTTTGGAGAGGTAAGAAATTGAACGGGATGATGTTCTGTATGGAACAGATGCCAAAGAAATTTAAACTCACTGCTGATCATCTTTAGAATTCAGAACAGTCAGGGTTTCAAACAAGCCGGCGGAAGCCAGAGCTCGGGGTGGTTTTATGATGTCTACGACTGCCTGCTATACTTTCTTTAAATTATACTGTGCAGCCATCTCGCTTTTTCGCGGTTTGTGGCTATAAAGTGGCCGCATTTCGGCATATACCTTGTAGTCAGGGTTTTGTCTACATAAAAGTGTAGTATGCTGTAGTTTCGTAGGTGGTAGCTCAGCTGTATCCTAATAAAGTTAGATTTGTAAGTTTAACTATTGTCTAAAAAGCAAGAACTAGCTACATCTACCAATACCACCATACAATAAGACGAGTTTTCAGACAGAATGACTAAATTAAGAATGTTCGGTATACCGAATATATCGGTATTGAAACCAATATCGGTTTATCGTTATGATTTTTTCAGTCAAACTGATATACCGAAACTTCCGATATATCGGATACACAGCATGCATATGGTGAAATAATCAATTTTTGTTTTACTCAGATGCAAAGTAAAAGAAGTAGACATTTCGTGTTAAAGACAATGTCAACAGCTTCGAAATTATCATAAACAGTGTTTCTACTTTTGAAATTATTCAAAATCAAAATTTCCTTCAAATTTCTACTAAGGAATTTTCCTATCTAATTTAAAAGGCGAAAAACCGGTATACCGATAATATCGGTATAATTTTCCCGGTATACCGATACCGGAAAATTCTCATACCGAAATTCCTAAATGACTTTCTGAATGATGAAATCCAAAAGTCTCAAAAACTTGTCCTGTCAGTCAGGGCTTTTATAATTTTTTACGTAAGCGGATGCGGCGAGAAAGAAAGCGGCTGTCCTCGTGAAGGAATATTTTTATTAAGTCCAAGGAAATAATTCATGACAGTATTTGAATAATTGTGTTTATTGTACAGGGGCTTTTTTTCATGGTCAGTTAGCTGAAAAAAGCTATAGTTAAACTTTAGTACACTTTAAGTTCTTGTCAATTAAGGGATATCTGCATGTTAATATTAATAATTAAGGGATATCAAATCCATCAATAGGATAACCGTAGACTAGAATAAGCAGAGAAATTTCCAAGAAATATTTCTCGTTCATTCGTACAGGTTTGCAGCAAATTTTGTACAAGTACTATTATATGTATTTATTGTTTATATGCGGCAAAATTACGAGTTTTACGAAATCATGTTCATTTCTTACTTTCTTTCATCCGGGACATCAGGATTATAATAATTTCCTTGTCTAGAAGGTATAAAAAGAATATCTTTGTAGGAAAACATTCAATTCATCGTTAAATTTTAGTCACAGAAACGAGCCCAAGAAGTTTATAAGATATAAATAAAAGATAATTAAAATGTATGTGGAAAGTGGTGTAAAAATAATTTTATTTTCATGCGTGTTTTAGCCCGTTTTCTGTCACACCCGACAAAGGCAGTTTAGCTGTTGGTGAAAGTATGCAGGTCCATGTTCAGTTTAAAGCATTAAAGACTGGGGATTATAACTGCAATATGATATTACATTACGACACAGGTAAATTGTAAAATTCAGGGCGATTAGTACTTCAAGATCTTGCATGGATATTTTGTGCGATTTTTAAATAGCGTGAAACATTGTCTAAGGATAGTGGTGCACAGATCCAAAATATCCGTGCAAGATGACGTATTACCTTCAGGGCTTAAAATAACCGCTGGTCACCGCTCAATGATCGGCCAAATAATTAAAGAATCACAGTCAACTGTGATGCTTCGCGCGCTATGTAAATATTTATATAAATGGCATTGCAACCTTGTTGGACCTGTTCATAAAATAAACTGTAAACAAGACGCCTGCTCATGCGTTCACACTGGCCTCGCGGTTGGTAAAATACCATCGCAATACTCTAAAAAATAATTCCAAACATGTAGATGTTCTTCACTTCTTGACGGCCGTCACTTCATGATCACAAACTTTCAGAGGACGGCACAATAAAAATCCATACAAAACCAATAGAGTTCAGCGATGTCATATCGAAAAACACAGAAAAGTGCAAGCGCAATGAAATATAGTAAAATACGTCCCACAATTACAGCGTCTAAGATTTGTAACGTAGTTAAACACGAAAGTCGTTCTGATTTACATTGTGTAGAGTTGGTCCTAATATAAATCGTCGTGAGCTGTTTTAGCTAAATTGCGCAATCCTGAGCCCACGATGCCGCAATGGAAAGTCTAATAAAATGGTGGAATGCAAAACAATAAAAACATTTTAGCGCGCAAAGCATCACGGTCGACTGTGATTCTTTAAGTCGGTTATGCTGACCAGATATCCATTCGTCTTGACTTCATCATGTGGTCATGAGTCTTTTCTATTTCTAGATGAAGATGTATACGTCACTCTGTATGGAGCTGCTGTCGACGTGAATGTCAGATTGGACAAAAACACTTTAAAACTAGAGAATACATTCATATCTTGTACATCACAGAGGTATGCCACGAAAGCGACAAAAATATATAAGATTCATACGCTTTGTACCTGCACTGAGGTGAATAATTGTTTTAGCATATACCACAACAAAACAACAATGACCAAAAAAACAACGAAAATGTTTTTAAAACAATTTGTATTTCAGCTCCCGCATAGTAGTTGTGAACAAAATAGTATATGTACACGCTTTCGGTAATCTTATCATTTTTATTCAGTAGAAATAGCTTTAAGGAATACCTCTTTACAGTGTTAAACAAAACTTTGTGACTTTCATCCTGCCGTAGGTTGGATTCCTGTAAAATGGCTTGCGCACAACGTGTAAAAGCTTTGATCGCATTTTGAGTTAATGGATGGAAAACGTGTTTGGTTTTTAATTACTGTACACAATTTCAGACAATTTGCTGTAGTTTAACCCTTTAACTATTCATGCTTAATTAATGCTTTTACCTAATTTGCATATTGCTGCAATATGCAAATTAGGCAAATGCATTAATTAAGCATGCAAAAGGCTTTTTTAGGAAAAAATGTAAGTGTGTGTAAATATTTAAAGGCTTAAACTGAAGCAAATTGTCGTGCAGCAATTAAAACGCAACACATTATTCTCCCATTAACTCAAAATACGATTAAAGCTTTTAAATCTCGTGCGCAAGCCATTTTTAGTTTTTTTGGAAAAGAGACGCCCCTCCTGGTTTACAAAATTTGAGTTCGAGAATTTTTTTTCATTATTCTACATTATAAGTACCCAAAGAAGCTATACATATATAAAAAAAACCCGAATACTAATAGCTGTTTTGCGAAATTGAGAGCAATTTCAAATCTGTTCAGTTTTTTTTTTATACATTCTGTAGTTGCATGTTTCGCATCTGCTCTTGGTTATCTATGTCTGATAAATGTATAAATTTAAACACAAAATTTCCATTTACAAAAACCCTTCCCCTCTTCGGCTAAGGCTTTCTGGAATGGGAATATGCTGACCATATAGAGTCATTTGGCCCAAATAGAATATTACAGTAAAATATAATTAATTTCTTTACGTTAGAACTGTCCTCGTTCACAACAGAAGTGATCACATTGTGAACTTTCGCTGGACGAGATTTGCAACGTTGACGGAAGAGTTACAACACAAAGAAAGGTTGGTTGTGATGAGAAAATGTTTTAAAAAATTAGTACATTCTTGTATTTGTGCAATTGTAGTAGATACGCATCCAGAGTAACGAACTATACCTGGACATTAGACATTCGCTGTAAAAGCATTTCATGTTGCTTTCAGATGCAAGATGGATTTAAGACGAGAAGAAGAAATTGAAACAGATGTTTTTCTCATGGAATGTACTCAGGATGTTACAATACGAGATCAAATGTCCATTCTTCAGCGTTCATTTCAAACTCGAAACCGGGTATACGACTTTATTTATGCAGCTTACAATTGCTGATGTGCCGCGAAATGCGAATTCTCTATGATATCAACCCCCCCTGGGCGTAGTTATTTTAGGCACTTGGGTACCAAGAATGGGAGAGAGGCGCTTATTGTGGGGGGGGGGGGGCTCTCTTTATAGAGAGAAAGGGCGCCTCGTGAATTAGCGAATTACGGTATCCTACATACGAACCTACAGGATAGTTAGCCTGCCAATCGCAATTTTTTTTGTTTAATAAATATTTAATTTGAAAAGGAAATTTGCCCCAAGAGCTACTGGTTGCTCATCTAGGGGGCTCACCTCACATTTACATAAATAGAAAATAAACACACAACTCGATCAAACAATCATACATTCAGTGTATAGAAGAAAAACACACAGGGAAGTACTGAAAGATGAACAAACAGATTCAAATCTTACTTGATCAAACGAGAACAAGAATTGCATGTGAGTTGACTGGAACAAGAATTGCATGAGAATTGCCAAGTAAATTGCAAATCGCAATTTACTTGCACTGTCAGATATTATGAAAGTAACATACCTACATAATGTGTTAAAGGGGATGAAATACACATTACTGATTGCGTTAGATGTTTAACCAACTGTCAGCCTTGAATTCTCATGTTTACTTTAGACGGTCGATGCAGACAAACTCATTTACAAAGATGATGTTCTTGAAATTCAACCATACGTGAGTACTGTTCGACGTATCTCGACAACGCGTAAGCCAAACGGAAGTCCATCGAGATGTTATAGATCGCGAGTAATGGCTTGAGCAGTTCTTGGTTGAAATAAAAAACGGCAGCCAATTTCACATTTGTGATTTCAAACCAGAACGGCTGTCGCCATCAATCACCATCTATCACGGTTCGATTGACTTCCGCTTCGCATAGGTGTTATCAATTGTCAATGTGATGTGTTTGTTCAAAATGCTCAGAAAAGGTGTTTTCTAATCAGTTTTTAACCACGTTGTCTTATTTTTATAGGAAGGTGTTATTTGGCCAAATTCATCAATGGAAATTGATATTGCATTTACTCCATTGGAAGCACAGAGGTATAGAGCGAACCGACAGGAATTTTTGGAAAATCATAAGTATTGCGTATTACTTGCATATAATCTCCGTTTTGATTTGTAAAAATAATTATTGATATCACGTAATTTATTATAACACGTGCGGATAATAGTTGTGTACATGTGGATATGACGCCACTCCCAAGAGAATAATCGCAACGTTAGCAAAAGCCAATTGGTGTACACGAAGAACATGTAAAGCCGAGGCGAGATTTGCTCGGTAGCTGAAGCGATTTGGAAAAACGTTTAGACGAAAAAGAAGCGGAAAACACTAAATAAGCTGCAAAACAGCATTAAGAGTTTTTAACGAAGATAAGCGAACCTCAGGAAAAAAAGTCCTACAACTATTTTGCTCCAACAACTTTGTTTTATCACGGTACAGCTTCGGCAGATAATACATCCTCGGCCTTGATAGTTAACAGTTATTCACGAAACGCGAAACGTTGAGGTGAATCAGGTGAATATAATAGACCTTTATTTAAAAGTCTGCCTTGTGACGTAGTTTGCGGATAAAGGAAAACCCCACACAGCCATTTGGCTTGCCTGATTGGCCAAATGATCGAATTTATCCGCAAACTACGTCACAAGGCAGACTTTTTAAAAAGGTCTATTGTTTTAGCATATACCACAACAAAAATATTTTCAAAACAATTTGTATTTCAGCCCTCGTAATAGTTGTGAACAGAACAGTATTTACACACTTTCGGTAACTTTATCATTTTTATTTTCGTGTTTGGCGAAATCCCGGAACGAAACGGGAAGCCATTTTGTTTTTGTCCGGAGGTGGATAGTGCAATGTTATCCGGATCTGAGCAACCAATCAAATTGCGTGAAAAGTGCTATCTATACCCCCTGATATTTCTTGCTCAATCTCATCCATTAATTATAAATGATATGTATAATTCATTATAGTTATGCTCGAACTTTGTACTGCGATGTGGCTGGCAGGGAATCTCGACTACCACTGAGAATCAGAGGCGAAGGTATAGGACCACGTGTGGTGTTCTCATTGGATTCACTTGATATTGGAAATATATTTGTAAACTCAAAACATTCTTATGAGGTTTGTTACAATTTGGCAATTGTCTGTGAAGTTCATGCAACTACAAGCTATACTATTACAGAAAATAGAGAGAAAATATTTTTCTGACCCAGACCAATTATTTCTGTTAGGCAGCCTGACTACTGCAACACCGCGGAAAAACGTCTGTGCATCGCCACTTTTACTGAAATTCGTCTGAACATGGTGTAAGTGTTCCGAAGGTTGTCAAAAACTCGAAATGGAAGAGACTTCGATGTTTTGCCTTTTTTGTGAAAATACAAACGGGATAATGAATGTGACAACCTAAAAACTAGAAATAATTACAGTCTACATGTGCAAGAAGTAGTATTATGCAAGAAAATAAACAAAAGGTGACTGTCGATAAATTTATTGCATAAAACGTTCTTTAACTTTAGGTTTTCGTAGGTTCATATGATCCACATTTTTGTCAATAACTTTTTTTGCGCAGAATGTATAATTTTTGCGTTCACTATATTTAAGGGTAATTATTTACTCTACAATTTAATCGTGTGCAAATGCTTACATATTTGAAAGTTTTTTTAACTTTTGTGTCTAAAGTTTGGTATTCGACAATTTTTCAAGAAATGTTCACACGCCTCCTGGTCTAAAACGATAATTTTTTATTTTTAATTTAGATTTTAAATGTTAGAAAACTTTTTATTAATGACTATTAAACTACGCGTGTAGTGTATTTTTTGGTTTGTTTCACTTGTATTAAAGAATTAAATAGCCTTGTTTTTGTTTACAATTTGGCATTTAAATTCCTTACCATTTTTTCTAGTACACGCGTATGCGCAGACGTTTTTCCGCGGTGTTGACTACCGCAGTGAAATGAATATAACTGCAATCTTGGAAATAACTGGTTGAGACTATTTTCTCCGTATACAAAATTCGGACATCCTTATGATAAATTCCATGTTGTGCTTCTTAAGCCCCCATTGCCCCAACTCATTGCTGAGCTTGTGTCATGGTAAGTTACCAAAAGTTGTTTTGGCGTTGTTTACAACATCGAACTGGGGAGGAGGGGGTGACAAAATTTGTTTTGTCAATGTTCATTAACTTGGCAGTATTGGCTGGAACGGTCTCAAGGATTTTGTCCAAGATTGTGGAACGCTACCTCCAACCGGAAAGTTGAAGACAAACGGAAGGCCAGCCCCATTCTTTTCTCGCATGCGAAAAGCGCTGTCAATCTGTCAACATGAATATGTATTCTTGAAAACCGGCTTAAAATTTACAAAAAAGCTTTTTAACAGCGCTCAAAGCTTATTAATACATGTAATACTATTCAGTATACACTACATTTATTCAGTTAAAACGTCCTTGTAGACTTTACTTTTATTTTTATCTAATAATTGTTTATTGAAAGAGCATTTTTCTGCGATAAAAGTGTGCCTCGAGAGAATCTCGAGCTCTAAGCATGCATGTCTTGAACCCCAGACATGTCTTGACCTTCATTTCGCGGCTACCGCAATTTCTAGAATTGTCGCCCACGTGGTAACATATTGGAACTGATTACAGATTTCCAATCCCCAATCGTGTGTTAGTTCCAGTGATGGGTATACCTGGAGGAATGATTATATGTTTTTTTCTTCTGTAGGTTGTACTAGCGAACAAAGGTGACATTGACGCTGTGTTTTCATACATTTATTCTCAATCTATGTTTGGTCCTCTCGTTACATTCTCTCCATCTCAAGGCATTGTCAGACCTGGCGGATACCAAGCTATCAAGGTTTGTTTCAATGTTTCTATCAAGAGCCGCAGGCTTAATTCTTGTCGGAGGGCTTATTAGTTCTGGGTCCGGCTGTTAAAGCTGGATTAGCGCTAACCATGAGTTAAAATTTAACCTGCTGTTTCGGTTTGTGTATTTCTGCACATCTCTTTATTTCAAAACTTCAGAGTGAGGACGGATGGTAAACTATCCGAAACGTAGCTAAAATAAAAATATTATTAAAAACCTCTTGTGTGATCCTTGATTTAAATTAAAAACACAAAATTATTTAATATGCACAGAGGTGAAAGTTTCAGAAAAGCAATTAAAAATCGGTACGGGAGCGGCGGATTGAAACAAACAGACAACTTACAAAAGTGTACATTGAAACAAGTAAGACTGAAGAATCATCTAAAATTCTTAAGAAGATGCAGAGATATGCATCATCAATAAGAGAGTTGTTCCACAAGGGCTTCGAGTACGGTTATTAAAAGATGAGTTTAAAGTACGTAATGTTACACGAATGAAAAAAAAGATTGGAAACTACACGAGTACAAACCCGGATTAAAGATATTCGTCGAAAACTATATTATGTAAATCAGCAAAAGAGAGATATTTTAATGGATTTGAAAGAAACTTTCACGCAAAATGATTTTCATTGGGTAGAACAAGTTATCAGAGTTTCCGAAAACAGAGAAAACGAGAATGTGAAGAAAAGACAGGTGAGAAAGTTTGACGCATTGATAAAAGAAAAAGAAGATCTCGAGAATAAAAATAGACAATTGTTAGAAGACCACGAAAGAATGAAGAAAGAAAAGATAAAGAATGAAGTCGTTGATCTAACGGAAGATGGTATCGACAATGATATTAAGGGCTACTTGTCTTTGGGACCAGGATTCTGTGAAGCTCCAACAAGAGTACCGTATGAACATATTATAGCAGAAACGGAGAAAATGTGTACAAAGATAAAGAGAGAAGGCGAGACTAATGAAATTGATGAAGAAATAGTTGAACATGAAATTGGTGAAATACGCGAAAATGTAAAAGTTATTTTGGAGAAAGCTAGACACAAGAAATATAAAACGAATTTGACGAAAGAAGAGTTAAACGGAAAAAAGAAAGCTCTACAAGATAAAAGAAAAGTATTCTTACCAGCAGATAAAGGACGGATAATGGTGGCTATGGGTAGATTTGAAAGTGAAGGTGGTGAACAAAGTTATGAATACAAGATGAAACAAGTATTGGTTGATCTCAAGGCAAAACCTTCCATAAGAGCAAAAAAGGACTGGGACTTGACTGATAAAGTTTGTCGAGAAGGTACAAGGGTTATTGAAAGAATTGTCGAAAGAGGAGAAATTTCAAAGAATGATGCGGAACGGTTAAAACCAAAGGATTATCATGCCCCTAGGTTATATGGATTGCCAAAAAATACACAAAGATGGTGTTCCATTGAGAGGGGTGGTCTCAACGGTTCGATCGCCTTTTGAAAAACTGTCTAGATTTGTCATTCCAATTCTGAGAACAATTCAGGGAAGAAGTGGACTTTATCTAAAGAATTCGTGAGAATTGAAAGAAAAAATTAAGAATTGGCGTGTGGAGAGAAACGAGATACTCGTGAGTTATGATGTGAAGAATTTATATCCATCGATCCCAATAGATGAGGCATTAAAATTGATTGAAAAGTTGTTAAGAGAAAGTAAAACCTTAGTAAATATAACTGACTTAACCGTACAGTCGGTAATGGAAATATTGAAATGGATGTTTGGCTTGTCTTATTGTGAGTTTGACGGCAAGAATTAGATAAACGCGAAAAGATAGATAAACGCGAAAAGAATGAGTCGGAGGAAGAGCAAGAGTATCGAGGAATGATGGTTGTACCTTACATCCAGGGCTTATCAGAACAAGTCAAAAGATTAGCTTCCAAACATTCATTTCGGACGACATTTAGACCAGGAAATAAAATAAAATAAAATAAAGGAATTGAAGGCGAGGGCTCAACAACCACTTGGCGAAAAACAAGAATCTGTTGTCTACGAGATTCCATGCAAATGCAAGAAAGCGGTGTATGTAGGAGAAACGTCGATGTTGTTTAAGGTGAGAAAGAAGGAACACGAGTGCAAAGTATTAGATTAACAAACGAGGATATGAGAAATGGACGGATGGCGGTGGCAGAAGAACGAATGGGGAAAGAAGACGGAGGTTTAGCAAGGCACAGTATAGAGTGTACGGAAGAAATAGACTGTGAGAACACGCGAATATTGAGAAATGAATATAGATTAAGACAGCGGAAAGTTATAGAAGGAATTGAGTCTCTTAGAGTAAGGCATAACAAAAAGAAAGTTTTAAACAGTTTTGAATCATTGATGACTTGGAGACCAATATTAAACAAATACTTTATTAAGGAAAACGAGCGCGCGCGTGCGCGCACGCAGTTTAATTTAAATTAGCTTGCGTGAAATGAACGTTTCAAAGTTGTATACGTCAGATTTAAGAACAACTTGTTAACCTGAGGACGGATAGTAAACTATCCGAAACGTAGATAAAATAAAAAATATTATTAAAATCCTCTTGTGTGATCCTTGATTTAAATTAAAAACACAAAATTATTTAATATGAACAGAGGTGAAAGTTTCAGAAAAGCAATTAAAAATATTTCCATGTTTATAAACAAGCTGTTCGGAACTTGAAGATTTTGTTGACCTATACGATTAAGTTAACTGGCTTTTGAACAACCAGCCCCAGGGTTCTCACTGGTCTTGAAAATCCTGGAAAGTCCTTGAATTTGAAAGTCAGTGCAGTTCCTTGCAAGTCCTGGAATTTATTTCCAGCTGTGCTGATAATACTTGAACATTATTTATATTAGACTACTGCGATTTCGAAGTTTTTCCAGGTTTAGGTCCTTGAATTTGCGGAAAACCGACCTTGAAAGCCTTGGAAAAGTCCTTGATTTTCATCTTCACTAAGGGATCAGTACTACGACAACTTACTTAGCCGAGTTGTGTGCTTGATTTACACAGTACAGTTCAAGTTGTAAGCAGGTTGCATGCGACAGTTTTAGGCAATAGTTCTGAAGTGTAAATCGGCCTTTAAAATGATCTAAATGACTGAACGAAACAGTATAGTCAATTAATTAAATGGCTGTTGAAGTGGAGCCGTTTAAAGCTACGGATACACGGGCAATATTACTCAGCCTGGCAAGTCAGGCCCACTGTAACTATGATCATCAACTATATCAACCGTAAATAATAATGGGCCAATAATAGCGAAGAAATTATGTAGTGTTGATTTTTAATGCCATTACATGGCTCGTTGTTGACTTTAATTTAATCCAGCATATCAATTTAAGTCAGCAACGTAATAATGGACAATAATTATTATACAATGTACCACGATAGCCAATTCTTGATCAGAGTGTGTAATTGATTGTGTTCTGGTAAGTGTTCCAAAACTATAAAAATGTATTGTAATACACAACTGTACTCACTGTTATTCATATCGTATTTAAAATGTAGTAGACTATCATTAAATATTCAATGCCTTAAAAAATATTTCAAACACTCATTAATAATTCATAAGGTTATTGGCAAATCAGGTAAACTATAACATGTTACGTGCAGTGCATGGCTTTAAACCCCAGGTGATCTCGTGTTCGTATTTTAGCCAATCAGCGCTCAGAAAGGGTTGTCCGAATAGAAATCCATTTTGATGTATTCAGTCAATTATATCTTTCGTTATCCTTTATGAAACTAGTTGAAATTTTGTAATTATGTTTGGTTATGAGAACTATAGCTCTGACAAAAATATGGAATCGAAATAAAGTATATTACAGGAGATATTCAGTTGTTTTAATCATAAAATGGATTTCTATTTGACAACTAGTGCCAGTACGTTTCCGCGTATCAAGATTACCTGGCCTGATAAAACACTCCTAATTAGTATTCTTTATATAAAAAATACTATTAAGGCAGAATCTAGTCCAGTAAACAAAGCATTTTTTTTAGGCGAGGTTCGACAAAATTTGTAACAAAGCCCATTCACCTTAAATCTGTTTATATGCGTCCAAATAGTACACACATAAAAATCCACCCGAATCCGACCATGGCAACCTCTTTATTTCGACCATCCAAAATCCAAGATGGCCGCCAAATCCAAGATGGCCGCCATTTTTTAACAAAAACCAAAATAAAACAGTTACACAATTACACTTGGTGGAGTTAAGCCTCTAGGCATGTTTATTGCCTATCAATACATGTAAAACCGGCATTGAATCGAAATCTGAGCTTGCAAATCATATTTTGTTTAAAGTTGTTAAATCCAAGATGGCCGCCAAATCCAAGATGGCCGCCAAATCCAAGATGGCCGCCGTCAAGCTTATTTAGATATGTATTAGGCACCATTTTCCACAGAAAAGCAAATAAATTCCAAATACTAGATACTTAGATTATTTAACATTATTTTCATGTGTAAAATCTTTTTATAAAAGCAATAAAACCCATTTACAAGGGGACAGCTCTTCGTATAAAAAAGGACTGGGAAAGACACTGGAAATGATTTTTATTGCTCAACTAAAATGTGTTTCTTGCGGGCTTTATAAAAGTGAGCCAGTGTATCATACCGCAGTTCTTCCTTGACGAAACACATTCCCTTTTTTTCTTTCAGATGGGGCAAATTTTGATATGTTTGCAACACTCATAATTCTACTTATAAATCTCGAAGAAATTAAAGTTCACGTCAGATATAATCATCAGCGGCAGCATCAAAATCCTCACGATCCACTCGCGGAGAGTTTAGATACGCAATGCCCTTACATTGGCCGCACGCTGGAGTGCACTGAAGACCAGGGACGCCGGAACTGGGGGGGCAGGGGGGGCGGCTGCCCCCCCTGCCTTTTGCTAGGGGGGCAGGGGGGGCAGAAGTGCCCTTTTAGTTTTAAAAAATTACGTGATAAATCACATTTAGAACGATGGTTTTTGTCCGAAAATTATGAGATTCAGACATTTACAGTTTATATTTCACTTATGGTATGTCCGGAAAAATTTTTTGACCCCTAAAATGGTACACTGACCGAAATTTTTTTGGCGACGTGGGGGCGGGGGGGGGAGGTCGCCAAAATTTTTGGATAAAAAAATAAATTTCGGAAGATTTTGAAGTTTTGCTTTAGAGAAGTGCCCTTGCTGTGGGTCCGCCCCCCTTTGCCTTATGATCGTTCCGGCGTCCCTGCTGAAGACCGTTCTTGAAGCTGGTGCAATATTGTGTATCACATCTGCCACCACAATTACATCTGATGTTTCGCAGGAGCTGCTGGCTCTGACATCGGCACAGGAACAAGGCCTGTTGAGGATCTCGCCCATCCCCACTCCTCAGGAGGAATATCGTTCCCTTTCCATGCCTGTACCTGGAGAAAGACACTTGTGACTGTGAAATCGGGCGGCGTCTGACGTCGGCGGAAGCTTCTCTGGTGGTACATATCCAGCTGCTGTGGCCACGTTCGTTTGAAATCTTTGGAGCCTTGCAGTTTTCAAATCATCTACTTGGCTTCCATACATGATGAGTAGGGCCCTTTCGCCAGCTGTTTCTAGGGCCACTTTTGAAGACTCGCTTGCCATAAACGTTGCAGCACTTTCTGCCAGGGCAGCATATTTCTTCAGAAACCCACTTTCCCGATTCCATGTGGCCTTGAGGTCGTATCACAGCCGCTAACAGCATGGAGAAAAGGAAGTGACTCTGACAGCTTAACATCCACTCTGCGCTTGATGGTGCTAGCGCAGACAGTTCGTTTTGCAGCGACCATGTATACATCACTAGCAGCAGGATCTGTGTGGTGAACTAGCAACTGGAAAACATCAGAATCTTCTGCAACGACTGCTACTGGACTTCATAAGGCATATGCACAAGCCCTCTGACAAATCTTGTAGTCTGCATCTCCTGTGGCGTGCTCAACATGGATTCCAGCTCGACCCATTTCGTCAGCGAGGACATGTCTGAGATAAGAAAACTGGTAGAGGTTTTCAACAAGTGCAGTGTATTCAACACGTCCTCCGCGAAAATTGTAAGCTTATCGACTGGACTAATTACCAACGACTCTGTGAATGTTGATGATGCAAAGTCGGCGGAGCTAAAGTTCTGCAGTCAATGGTTGGTGAGATGGTCTCAGCGTATTCGTTTTCACAGAAGAATCAAGTCAAGACCCTTGCCTCTGCTGTATACGTAAAAACGCCCTCTGGAGGACAAGTATAGCTGGATCCCCCAACACTTGTATCAGCGCCTTCTTCTCATGGGTGTCGGAGACATCCCTCTCTCTGAATTACTCGGCTACGAACTGTGCTCTCTACCGGCCGCTCTTTTTGACAACTACATGCGCATGAGAACCGGCGACAAAGCAAAGCTAATTCACCATTTAGTCAAGCTCGTCCCTGAAAGTGTTGTTTCGACACTCCCCACTACAGGCCTGCGGAATATCATCGACGGAGAAGGGCTGCTTCACAAGTTCGCATGGCCAAAGAATTCCACGTACGCTGAAATATGCACTCTGTACGTTCGACATGTGAGTAGCAGCTACGCCAATGCCACGGTGATTTTTGATGGATATCATGGCCCCAGTGCAAAAGACGAAGCACATCGACGTCGATCAAGCAACGACGTTCGCGCAACAGTGTCCGTTACCAAAGAAATGCACCTGACGATGTCCAAGAAAGCTTTCCTTGGCGGAAATTCCTCCTCGCTGACGAAATGGGTCGAGCTGGAATCCATGTTGAGTACGCCACAGGAGATGCGACTACAAGGTTTGTCAGAGGGCTTGTGCGTATGCCTTAGGAAGTCCAGTAGCTGTCGTTGCAGAAGACTCTGATGTTTTCCAGTTGCTAGTTCACCACACAGATCCTGCTGCTAGTGATGTATACATAGTCGCTGCAAAACGAACTGTCTGCACTAGCAGCATCAAGCGCAGAGTGGATGTTAAGCTGTCAGAGTCACTTCTTTTTCTCCATGATGTTAGCGGCTGTGATACGACCTCAAGGCCACATGGAATCGGGAAAGACGCCGCCCGATTTCACAGTCACAAGTGTCTTTCTCCAGGTACAAGCATGGAAAGGGAACGATATTCCTCCTGAGGAGTGGGGATGGGCGAGATCCTCAACAGGCCTTGTTCCCGTGCCGATGTCAGAGCCAGCAGCCCCAGCGAAACATCAGATGTAATTGTGGTGGCAGATGTGATACACGATCTTGCACCTGCTTCAAAAACGGTCTTCAGTGCACTCCAGCGTGCGGCCAATGAAAGGGCATTGTGTGCCTAAACTCTCCGCGGGTGGATTGTGAGGATTTTGATGCTGCTGCTCATGATGATATCTGACGTGAACTTTAATTTCTTCAAGATTTATAAGTAGAATTACGACTATTGCAAACATATCAAATTTTGCCCCATCTGAAAGAAAAAAAGGGAATGTGTTTCGTCAAGGAAGAGCTGCGGTATGATACACTGGCTCACTTTTATAAAGCCCGCAAGAAGCACATTTTAGTTGAGCAATAAAAATCATTTCCAGTGTCTTTCACGGTCCTTTTTTATACGAACAGCTGTCCCCTTGTAAATGGGTTTTATTGCTTTTATAAAAAGATTTTACGCATGAAAATAATGTTAAATAATCTAAGTATCTAGTATTTGGAATTTATTTGCTTTTCTGTGGAAAATGGTGCCTAATACATATCTAAATAAGCTTGATGGCGGCCATCTTGGATTTGGCGGCCATCTTGGATTTGGCGGCCATCTTGGATTTGGCGGCCATCTTGGATTTAACAACTTTAAAAAATATATGATTTGCAAGCTCAGATTTCGATTCAATGCCGGTTTTACATGTATTGATAGGCAATAAACATGCCTAGAGGCTTAACTCCACCAAGTGTAATTGTGTAACTGTTTTATTTTGGTTTTTGTTCAAAAATGGCGGCCATCTTGGATTTGGCGGCCATCTTGGATTTTGGATGGTCGAAATGAAGAGGTTGCCATGGTCGGATTCGGGTGGATTTTTATGTGTGTACTATTTGGACGCATATAAACAGATTTAAGGTGAATGGGCTTTGTTACGAATTTTGTCGAACCTAAGTCATTCGTTTACTGGACATATTCGTGTCCTCATTAGTATTTTTTATATAAAGAATACTAATAAGGCGGTATATCTATTGAATTTGTATGGTCGTGTTTGAAGCCGTTTAATAAACTCGCAGGTCGTGTTTTATTAGGTCTAAAGCCACTCGCGCTGCGCGCTCGTGTCTTTAAACCTAATAAAACACTCCTGCTCGTTTATTAAACAGTACATAGCATCGTAGAAACGGTTAGTTATTTTGCATGCTTTACTTTTAATAAAACGAACGAAAACGAAACGAAAACTAAAAGCAATTCAGATAGGATTGAGCAGTGAACTCTATATATACAGTTCACTGGATATTATGGAGTTCACTGACACTGGGATTGAGTAGATATTTCAGGATGATTGAATGAATATAAAACCATGCGGTTCTGGCGGCAACGCGGTAAGATATAATTTTGCGTACGCAAAATAAAATGCAAACGGAGTTTTCGAACGGCGGCCTTACGGTGTTTATATACAACGTCTAGAAAACAAACAATACTCAATATAGGTACATTGGTATTATTAATACAGCAGAATCATTCCTAACCCCCTCCTATGTATACAGCATGCATTATCTTGCTGACGCGACGTAAGTTGTTCTATTGGACCTATCAAGCTCCTTTTCGTTGTTTCTAACAAAAATTATGGGATTTATGCGAAAATCTTACTGTAGAAACAAAATTTTAAGTTCAAAGTCCAGTCCAAACCTAGTTGAGTCCAGTGTTTACAATATACCGTGCAATTTCAAATTTTTGCAGTGCAATTTCAAATTTTTGCAGTGCAATTACAGATAAAATGCACTCAAATCAACCAATCACAGTCGAGAATCATGCGTAATTACGAGCTGTTATATTGGCTACAAATTTAAATTTTGATAAACATGATGTCTCGACCGAGATATTGCAGTACGCAGGCGACATTGCATCAACGTCATATCACACAACATCGATCACACGTTATGTGCGCATGGGCAGGGTTTGAAAAGTAGCGCGAAAGTATAATTATACATGTTTAATATAGAAAGACGTTGCCAAACTTATAATTAGCACAGTCAAAGAAACAATTTAACACATATATTAGATAACATATATTAGGCTCGAAATGTAAATGTATGGACGAACACAATAAATAGAACAAAACAAATAAAATTAAAACTTTAGTCTGCTCACAAGTTTGAAATGATCCAAAATAAGCAAGTTCTGATCATACAGGGTTTGTTGTAGCACAATGCGTGAACTCTGTGCCAAGTCCTTGAGATATAATCAATCACACTGGTGTTTGATTTAGTTAGCTTGATCAACCGAGTGTTTGGACTTTCGACAATGAGGTCGTGGAAGGGTCTTTCCGATTTCTGGAGAAATGCCCTCGACAATAGTCAATACATCCTGGTCACCTGGACAATACTCAAACTTGTCATAGTAATAGCGTCCAACGGAACGCTCACGTGAAAATGATTATTTTCTGCCTTATTTGGCCGCGAAACTGGCTTAAAGGTTATCTGTTTTCCTGTGCTGTCTTGAACTATGATCTTCACCGAACCACCATTTTCCTTACGTCCCCAGAAACTAAACTCGATGCGATGATCTCTCGGCCGGGCTTCGATGTCGATTTTATATCCCAAATTATTACTATTCTTGCCAATCTTTGCATCATTCAAATTTTTCCCAAGAGGGAGTTGGACTGCTAAAATGTTGTCGCCTCCCTTGTCATAAATGACATCGACGCCATCATCGAGGATTACCGAGTAGTTGTCCGCTCCTCTCCCGGACAAGATGCGGTTATCACCTGTACTCATCTGCGCCGACAGTGGCGTGGACCTGCGATCAAGGTTGACTACAAAATCATGTTTATGTCCTCCCGTTACCTCGTAATAATCACTTCTTCCATTTTTAAGAAGAAGCATGTTGATTGCACTCTCGCTCAATTCAAACCTTTCCATAAACATGAATTGGATGATTTGAGCTTTAGATCTCATTCGTTCCACTTCAAATTCATGGCCCTTAAAAAGGTCGCTTATTACCCGTCCGACCTCATGGACATAATCGTCAATTTTCGTTTCGAATTGAACAAGAAGAAGTCGTTCATGATCGTGTTGCTGGAAATTTGGACAATACTTTCTCAGTCTCAACAAGTCAAATTGTGTTGGACTGCCTTCGATAAAGTCAGTCTTATCGCTATCCTTTATCCTTTCGTAACCTTTGTATACAATTCGTTTCGGCTTGTTTTGCTCCGGTCGTCTATTATTTCTTGCGATGCGAGTAATAGAAATACTTCCACCAGTTTTTTCAACAATTACCAGGTCGGATCCTGTACCCAAGCGGATATTGTCATTTCCTTTCCCTTGTACAAGCAGTGTGTTGTCGCCATTCGTTACTTCGACATCATCATTGTCAACTAAAATTGTGTCATTGCCTGGACCAGTTTTAATGACATCTCTCTCTGGACCACCACCAGTCACCGAAGAACTACTCCCGTAAAAGGTATTTGTTATATCAATGATGTCGTTTCCTTCTCCACCGTTTATTCTCGCTCCTTTTCTTACAACTGCAGCTTTCAAAACAAAATGATCATTTCCACCCATTCCATAAGCCTCACAGTTGTCATCTAGTATAACCTTATCGTTGACATTGTCACTTCCTAAAAAGATCAGTCTGTCATCCTGATGAGGAGAAGCCGTGGGACAGAACGTGAATCCCTTCTCTGCTTCCTCTGGGCAAACACTCGGCCTTGCCGTTTGGTTGGAGTATGTCGCTATAAATAGTTGAATAGGAGTAAGCTCGCCAGAGATTTGAAATTCCTCTTTAATGTTGTCCGATTCCCAACCCTCGACGACATAACGATCATGTCGATTATACTCTGGGGTCTACCCAGAGATCATGGTTTTAGTTGCCTTACAGTGGCAAGTATTTCTCTTTGTACGTTCGCTTTGAATTTTTCCATTTTGTCGTAGTGTACAAGAACCCGAAGAAAGTTCATTACTGTTAGATACCTGTACAGATAGGATGACCCGGTGACCTTATCAACTATTGCTTTGCCTGCGATCGCGAGAGCTGCAGGAAAACTCTGTGATAAAAAGAGATAGTAACCTTCCAGATAGTTTCCTTTCGCAAAGCTATCTATTATATCCACTGTTGTTCCAAAGGTGGGATCAGGCACCAGTGGTGAGAGAAATATCTTCACATAGTCTTTTGGTTCCAAATTCTCTTGACTAGTAAATCCTTGAGCCACGCTTGTACCGTATGACACCATATAAAATGTAGCTGCTAATCCGTAGGCTACTGGGCCAGCAATTATCGACGCTTTCACAGCTGCACCTGACAGGACCTGACCAACACCCATTGCGACATCGCCAGCCATAGCTGTTATAGAACTGGTCAACGCAAGAATGTTAGGGACACTCGCTTCCTTACCAACACTCAGGGAGTTAACCACGGTGTTATAGCCGTTAATAAGGGAATCCAAACCATTACTCACACCAGCATCAAAATTTCGAAACTTTAAGGAGGTAGCACCTCCCCATTTTGCCTGCAAACGTCGTATCACTCCTGATTTTTTCAAAGCAAACTTCATTCCTGAACCAAGATGACCTCCAGTTTGGGTGGAAAGCCATGTCTGGGCTTCTTTGAGTTTATCGAGTAGTGACTGGTCAGGTCTTACTACGCCATTTTTTAGTTTGTCTTTAATCAGCTGAACGATGTTTCGTGCGGCATTGAGTCGTTGGACTGCAGAGTGCAGTTTGTCATTGCTTGGATTTGGTAGACCCGAAAATCCTGCGGCTTGGTCTCTTCTCACAACGTGGATATTTTGAATCCCTTCTGTAAATGTGATGGCAGCGTCAAAGGTTGCTAAAGAGCCAACGACTGCGAAATCATACTCAGTGAAATCAACTTTTTTCAATTCTCCGGTATTTCTAAATTCCTGAAGATATTTTGGTAGATTTTGTTGAAAAGTCAGTTGTGCTTCTCGTTCTAGCAGCTTAAATGCATCATCGTTTGTCAGAACACGTCCTGGAAGAGCAATATCGCTGCGAAAATGAATCGCATCCAAACGAGTGTAACTGGATTGCGATAGAGCTTTCGCAAAAAAGAATAAAAGACAGATGATAAACATGACTTTTTTGTAATGCGAACAATGTGGTAAATTAAAGCGAATGCTTTGACTTTGGCTTTTAATAGCTTCATCAAAAGCCGATTACTAAATAGCAAAACAATTTATCAGTGCACCGTTGCAAACTACAAGAAGGATTAAGATTTTACCCTTTGCATTTTTGACAGGCGTGAAGTTTGTTATTAGAGGTTAAGCGAGTAGATTTATCTTGTTTAATAACTGATAATTATCTAAATTGTAATGGTTTTCGTTCTTTCTATAAGTCCATCGAATTCTACCGTCAAATTACGTATTATCTGTATAATGTTATTGCTAGTAAGCAGATAGAAATATTAGTAAACGAAACTTATCAACAATGCATACGGTTACATCAGTAAGTTGAGTAATCTTAATCTTTCTAATAACTTTATCCTACTTGTGGCGTGAGACGCTTCACTGATCGAAAGTTTACTACAAAATAGAAAACATCCAGGGGCGGTTTGCCGTTTTTTTGATCAATTTTAAAAAGATTGATTATCTAAATTGTAACGGTCTTCGTTCTTCCGATAAGCCTACCAAATTCTATGCTACATCCAACCGGATAGTGATTTTCAGTCAACCCTTTTAAAATTGATTAATTTAAAAAACGGCAATTACCGCCCCTGGATATTTTCTATTTTGTAGTAAACTTTCGATCGGTGAAGCGTTTCACGCCACAAGTAGGATAAAGTTATTAGAATAATTAAGATTACTCAACTTACTGGTATAAGCGTATATACATTGTTGGTAAGTTTCGTTTACTGATATTTCTGTCTGCTTGGTAATACGTAATTTGACGGTAGAATTTGGTAGGCTTATCGAAAGAACGAAAATCATTATACAATTTAGATAATTATCAATTATTAAACAAGATAAATCTACTCATTTAACCTCTAATAACAAACTTCACGCCTGTCAAAAATATAAGGGGTAAAATCTTAATCCTTCTTGTAGTTTGCAACGGTTCATTGATAAATTGTTTTGCTATTTAGTAATCGGCTTTTGATGAAGCTATTAAAAGCCAAAGTCAAAGCATTCGCTTTAAATTACCACATTGTTCGCATTATATATATATATATATATATTATATATATATATATATATATATATATATATATATATATATATATATATATATATATATATATATATATATATATATATATATATATATATATATATATAGAGAGAGAGAGAGAGAGAGAGAGAGAGAGAGATATAGAGAGAGAGATATATATATATGTAGTGGTTTTTTGAGTTGTGTTCATACGAGTGTATACCAAACCGGGCAAGCAGAAAATTCTACTTGACCGCGGCTGGGATTCGAACCCGCGACCTTCGTATTTACACGTTACACGAGTGGAATCGTAAACGTGTAACATTTTCGTATAACGTTACACGAGTGGAATCGTAAACGTGGGAAACCACAACATTCACATACAACATTGCCAGACTAATAGCTGGCTTTACGCATTGAAGGACTAACCTCCGAAATGCAACTAACATCATAACTTAACAAGTCGCTCTCAACTTGACCTTGTAGCTCAGACGGTAGAGCATCGTTCTAGAAATACGAAGGTCGCGGGTTCGAATCCCAGCCGCGGTCAAGTAGAATTTTCTGCTTGCCCGGTTTGGTATACACTCGTATGAAAACAACTAAAAAACCACTACATAACGCTACACGAGTGGAATCGTAAACGTGGGAAACCACAACATTCACATATACATGATTGCCAGACTAATAGCTGGCTTCACGCATTGAAGGACTAACCTCCGAAATGCAACTACTAACATCATAACTTAACAAGTCGTTCTCAGCTTGACCTTGTAGCTCAGACGGTAGAGCATCGTTCTAGAAATGCGAAGGTCGCGGGTTCGAATCCCAGCCGCGGTCAAGTAGAATTTTCTGCTTGCCCGGTTTGGTATACACTCGTATGAAAACAACTCAAAAAAACCCCACTACATATATATATATATATATGTATATATATATATGTATATATGTATATATGTATATATATATGTATATATATATATATGTATATAATATGTATATAACTACAGACGGTACCGTTTCGGCCTTTTGGGCCTCATCAGTGTAGTGCTGATGAGCAGGACGAAAGTAACCACTATAAATAGTTACCTTTGATGTCTCACGAATGTGGGACATCAAACCATTGCCAGAGTGCTCAATTTATGTGGTAAATTAAAGCGAATGCTTTGACTTTGAGACGTAATTATCGAAAGGGTGTATTGATATCAGCGTATACGTAATATAAGAAACAGATGAGTATATGCCAATAAGTTTTGTTCAGATGAGTGTACAGTTTACGAAGTTATTACACCACAAGATAATAATTAACTGATATTGGCTACACTTTCTTTTCCTATTTGCGGCCATTTTTACAAAAAGAGGGTCTAAAAGCGGTGTCGTTTCTAGATTGAGTTTTGTTCTCCAATTCTTGGCAACCTAAACGAAGATTTCTTCTGGGCAGTTGAAGGATCGCCAGAGAAACTTGTGTTCAATATCCAGTAAGTTGAATATATCAGAAAATTTCTATAAAGTTTAATTGATTAGCTCTCATAATAAAAGATTGGTAGCTAATGTTGGCTCATTTTTTTTAGGGGATGCGTGATCGGTCCTACATTTCATTTTGATGTACCTCGACTAGACTTTGGTGTAATTTCCTATGGTATGTCTTCTGCACAATTGAACTTTATTTCCGATATTGATATTGAGAGGCGAATTACCTAACAGTCACTGCCCAATAGTCACATTTTATATAGCAATTTTGAAGAGAATTTAATCTAGGGTTTGGAGACATGACCGTTGGCAGATTTTGAGGGGTCTGGGGTTAGGACCTAACCTTCACTATGAGCACACAAACGTTTTTACTTAAAAGTGAGGAACCATAATATGACTTAGCAGGAGAAGCGAATGGCATGCAGTGGCCATGCAAGCAAATTGTTCTGGACACAATATCGTTCATTTTTTGCCCAATTTTTACCTGTAGGTTTTCACTTTTCACAAGTTCTACTTGTTTTTGGGGTGCCCTTTTGAGTTGGGGGGGGGGGGGGGGGGAGGGAGAGCCGGTGCCATTTTCCTCTCTCTTATCTGCATGTACGCCTCTGCTCCCTTATATAGCGCTGCTACACAGGCTACAGGTAACTAACCATCGGAGACTTTCGTCCACGTGGTGAACACATGAAACTATAATATAATCTGAACTAAACTATACACGTAAAAATCTCACAGCTTGTCAACAAGATCTAGACATGTGTTTTCACTGCTTGTTCCCAGTTGGTGACAAGTCTGGAACAAGTTATTATCATCTCGCAGCAAATATTGTCTGCACGTAGCAAGGTGGTAACAAGTGGATGACAACAAGCTCGTAGCAACTTGTTACGAACAACCTGTGTTAGTGTTGTTGGAACAACTTGTAGCAAGTTTGTTACCGCCATCAACCTTGTAACGAGGTGGTAACAAAAACTGTAACAAAAACTGGGAACAATCAATGCGAACACATCTGATATCGACTTGACAACAACCTGACAACAACCAACAAGCCAGAGTTTAAAATTGCAGCCCGGCTGTCACCGGCATTTTCAAAGCACTAGCCGCCAGCCGGCGACGTCTAAATTAGCAACAGCGAGTTTTTCTTAATTGATTGATCCATACAATAAACTTATAACTTTAAATAAAAAAGATGCTGTTTTGACATAAAAATATCGCGTTCAGTAATTACCTGGACACGCAGCGAACAGCCTACAAATATATCTAAATTCAAATTATTTGTTTTGAACCCTGCCTGTTATGTTTGCAGTTTTCGAACAACTTGCGTGTTGTATTAAATGCCTCCAACTGTAGAGATGGCGGGGGGGGGGGGGAGTGGTTTTAACTTTTATCAATTTGGTGGTCTTGTAGTGTTGGGTAACAATTTGAAAGGTAAAATAAAGTGTTTGCTGTTTTCTAGGATTTCCAAACAGAAAGCAGTGTTCATTGATCAACACTTCTTTAATTCCGATGACTTTCACGTTGCGCGTTCCTGCTGACGAAATTGAGGGAACGGGCAGTTATATTGCAGTTATGAGTGGATATAGCGAGGAATCCCAAGAATACAGACATAGAGAGTTTGAAATCACGCCTGTTACAGCTACTCTAGCTCCGCAGAGCACGCAGTATATACAGGTACTAAGATTTAATATCCTTTCTATCCCGAAACCGCAGACAGCACTTACTAACTGTACTAAATTAACTTCTGAGATATTAGACCTTCTTCTTTTTGCTGTCATCTTAAGCACAGCTACAAAATGTCCGATAACTTGAGAACCAGATGAGCTTTGAATTAATTTCTTCAAGCCATTCTTCATCATTTTCAAAGTACTTTCAAGTGATGCGTAAAAATTGGGAGAAAATTTCATGTCTTGTTTTAAAAGCAAGAAATATTTCTTCTGGTATTTCTGTGCTGAAGAGGATGTGTTAGGCTTATAATTTTGAGAAACAACCGGCGACTACCGGTAGTTTATACAGGGCGTTTAAAAAACCCCTGAACAGATTGAAATTGCTCCCAATTTTGCAAAACCGCTCGTGGTATCAATAATGAGTACCCATGATGTAGAATAATGAAAAAAATACTCGAACTCAAATTTTGTAAACCAGAGGGGTGTTTCTTTTTCAACAAACTAAAAATGACTTGCGCACGAAATTTAAAACCTTTAATCGTATTTTGAGTTAATGGGTGGAAACTTTGTTGGGTTTTTAATTACTGTACAAAATATCAGACAATTTGCTTTAGTTTAAGCCCTTTAACTATTTATTTTTTCTTAAAAAATCAGCCTTTTGCATGCTTAATTAATGCCTTTACCTAATTTGTATATTGCTGCAATATGCAAATTAGGCAAAGGCATTAATTAAACATGCAAAAGGTTGATTTATTAGGAACAAATGTAAGTGTGAATAGTTAAAGGCTTAAACTGAAGCAAATTGTCTGAAATTTTGTGCAGCAATTAAACACCCAACACATTTTCACCCATTAACTCAAAATACGATTAAAGCTTTTAAATCTCGAGCGCAAGCCATTTTTAGTTTGTTGGGAAAGATACCCCCCCTGGTTTACAAAATTTTAGTTCGAGAAATTTTTTTCATTATTTTACATTATAAGTCCCCTAAGAAGTACCCTATCTAAAACTGGATACTATAATAGCTGTTTTGCGAAGTTGAGAGGAATTTCAAATCCGTTCAGTTTTTTTATACACCTGGTTCATAACTTCAGAGCGGGTGCAAGAAATTTCAGGGGAGGTGTACACCTCCCCCCCCCCCCAACACCGGTAGCCCCCCTCAAAATCCGGTCATATTCTATGCCATCGTGGAATACTGTTTTACGAAAAAAACGCTAGTCTCAGTGGCGGACACTACGCGAAATATAGGTTGCCAGTAGGATTACTTCAGCCGTTACAACGACACGGGATTTTGTAGAAAACTTGAAAGCCCTTGAATTTGAAAATGAAAGTTGAAAGGCTAGCATGTCCTTGAATTTATAAAGAAGTGCTTGAAAGTCCTTAACTTCTCCATGCTTTTAGGTTTTGGATATTTTCTGAAATTTTTTGACATTGAAAAACAGAATTGACTTTGTTCATGTCTAACAAAGCTGTTTGAAACTCAATAGACCTTATGCATAATGACGTCACAAGGCTTGATGCCCGCGAGGAGTGGTGGTCTTAGTAGTCATCGCCTGGGAAAATTAAACAATTCAAAATGGCCACTATCGAAATTTCCCCAGGCGATGACTACTAAGACCAGCATTCCTCGCGGGCATCAAGCCTTGTGACGTCATTATGCATAAGGTCTATTAAAGTCACCATTTTTACTGATTTCCAACGCCTTCTTTTAGCCCTTTCTAGTCCTTGAATTTCTTGATACATGCCCTTGAAAGTCCATGAAAATCCTCGAATTTGACTTTTTCTGACCTGTACAAACTCTCGCGAGATGAAAAGCAGTTTCAAGCGATAGCGCATTTGCAGAATTACTTAAAATATTATGATATTTACTAATATCTGTCGTTCTTTTCAGATTGACCTGGTATCGATGACAGTGAAAAAATATGACGTGTCTTTAGTCGTGGACGTTGAGGGTGTTGGGGAAGAGATTGCCTCTTTGCCTTTACTTGCCAAGTGAGATTTCTAATAAAATGTGTTACAATAAGTGTTTTAGTATATGATATTCCGAAACTGTAATAGAACCGACCGCCAGACATGCTGAAAAAAGTTTACTTTAAAACCATGTCAAGATCGTAATGTAAACGAATCCTTTGTTCACAGAATAAGACATACTAACTGAATATCTAACACTTTCCTGGTTCGCTATTGTAAATGAATATAAACTAGAGTACGTTTCAATTCAAAAAAGGGCAATGTTTATTTC